CAGCAAACAAGTAAAGAGTGCTGCAGCAAACAAGAAAAGAGTGCTGCAGCAAACCCCACAAGATTGCTGCAGCAAACCCCACAAGATTGCTGCAGCAAACAAGAAAAGAGTGCTGCAGCAAACCCCACAAGTGAAGATTGCTGCAGCAAACAAGTAAAGATTGTGGCAGCAAACCCCACAAGATTGCTGCAGCAAACAAGTAAAGAGTGCTGCAGCAAACAAGTAAAGAGTGCTGCAGCAAACCCCACAAGTGAAGATTGCTGCAGCAAACCCCACAAGTGGAGATTGCTGCAGCAAACCCCACAAGTGAAGAGTGCTGCAGCAAACCCCACAAGTGGCGTGTGGGGCGTGGGGTGTACGTACACCGCAGGCGCGCCCAGGTGTACGTACACCCGGCGCGCCCAGGTGTACGTACACCCGCGCAGCAGTCCCAGCAGCAGCAGCAGTTCAAATTAAATTAAATTAAATTAAATCATTTTAATTTGTTAAATTAAATAATTTTAATTTATTTATTTCAAAAAGACAGACACCAGAATCAAATCCAACAAAGCTCCAAGTGCTTCCGGGGCCCGCCTGGAAGGCATTACTTGGGGGCCCCCCTTGGGGGCCCCCTTGGGGGCCCCCCTTGGGGCACCCCTAAGGGGCCCCCCTGGGGGCCCCCTGGGGGCCCCCTGGGGGGCCCCTTGGGGGGCCTCTTGGGAGGCCCCCTGGGGGGCCCCCTGGGGGGCCCCCTGGGGGGCCCCCTGGGGGGCCCCCTGGGGGGCCCCTGTAGGGTAGGGACTTACAGGGCCCATTTCTGAGGGTGTTTGAGGGGTTTGTTATCAAGTGGCGTCTCCTCATCGCGGCCAGAAGGCTGCATCTTTCCTGAAGTTTGCAAAAACTTTAAACCCTACCCGCAAACCCTAAACCCTAGCCCGCAAACCCTAAACCCTAGCTCGTGACCTCCGGGCCCCACAGGCCTCACCCGAAACCCTGCTTTTCGCTGCGTGGGAGCTACGCTGCTGCAACAAACGGCGGCCGAGGGTTTAGGGTTTAGGAGCTGCTGAAGCTGCAGCAAACCGCGTTTTAGGGTTTAGGGTTTAGGAGCTGCTGAACACTTACTGCTGCCCGAAGAGGCCCCCAAACCTGGAGAAGAAGTTGCCGGAGGAGAGGGGCCCCCGTCTCCTGGCAGCGGGTGCAGATCGCAGCGGCTGGAGGGGCCCCCTGCCCTGTAGACCATTAGCTGCAGCGGCTCCCCCTTAGGGTTTAGGGTTTAGGGTTTAGGGTTTAGGGTTTAGGGTTTAGGGTTTAGGGTTTGGCGGCCCCCTGGCCCCTGACCATCAGGCGGTCGCGGCGCTCTCAAAGCCTAGGGTTCAGGATTTAGGGTTTGGGAGTTGGGGCGAGGGTTTGGAAGTTAGGGTTTAGGGTTTAGGGTCCAGGCCTGGGGTTTGAAGGTGGGGAACTGCTGCTGCTGAAATCCTCTTGGCTGTTCGCAGCCCGGCGGGGGTTTTGTTCCTTTCTTTTGATTTATTTGATTTTAAAAAAGAGAAAATATATTTTAATTTTAATTTAATTGTTAATTGTCAGCAGCACGGACAAAGGAGAGGCTGCAGCAGGCAGCAGACCACTGGTCACATGCGGTGTTGGCCTGTGCTGCTCACCGGCGCCATCGGCAGAGAGCCCAGAAGTTGAGTTAATTTGCTAATTTAAATGCAAATAATTGCATTTATTTATTTATTTTATTATTTTTGTTTGTTTTTTGTTTCGTATTATTCTTTTCCGGACGCCTGGGCCTCCGTTTTAGCTCCCTCAGCGCCCAGGTGACCTCGCTACTGTGTGTTCTTCGCTGGGGGCTGGTTTGTGGCTCTTCCCTCCGAAAACTGCTGCTAAGATCTTCAAAAAACAAATATTAATATTATTCTTTTTAAATTTATTTATTTTCTGTCAAATAAAAGGCAATTTTGAGCTCTTTAACGCATAAATCAGTTCAGAGGCGGAGAAGGCACCCCTGCCTCGCTTAAGTATACCCGGAACTCGTGGATCCGGGTGTACGTACACTGCCCATCCAGTCAAACAAACAAATAAAACCAAATAAGATAAAACAGCAGAAAGCAGCAGCAGCAGCAGCAGCAGCAGCAGCAGCAGCATGCACATTCCTTGGGCTTTGTTTGGCCCAGAAGCTCCACTGCAGCCCAGAAGGCCGCACGAATTGCTGCAAAACCTAAACCCTAAACCCTTATTTGGGGCCCCATTTGATTCCTAAACAGTTCCATAAGGCCCCAGGGGCCCCCAAAGGCCCGTTGGGGGCCCCTGAGCCGCCAGAGGGGCCCCCCGGGCCCAGGGGGCCCCCCTTAACTGCCTTGGGGGGGCCCCCCGTAGGCCTGCAGGTACTGCCAGCGAAAGTCCTTCGGGTAAGAAGACTGCGAAGAGCAGGGGGCCAAGTGGGGGGCCCTTTCGCAGTAGGGGCAGCACTTAGAAGGCCTGGTGCAGCAGCAGCAAACCCCGCAGTCCGAGGGTTTAGGGTTTAGGGTTTAGGGTTTAGGGTTTAGCGGTGAGGCCGCCGAGCTTGTGCGCCTGCAGCTCGGCTCGCGGGGGTAGGGCTTAGCGTTTAGGGTTTAGGGTTTGACAGTGGGGCCTCCCAGCTTGTGCGCCGGCAGCTAGGCCCGGGGGTTTAGGGTTTAGGGTTTAGGGTTTAGGGTTTAGGGTTTAGGGTTTAGGGTTTAGGGTTTGCAGCGAAGTTTGCTGCAGCTAAGACCTACTGATAAACAAAACTCTTCTTTTCTTGCTGCCGCGAGGGTCTGGAGCTTTTCAGGGCCCCAGCAAGGGCCCCCGCGTACCCTTCTAGTGCAGAAGGGGGCCCCCTGGGGGGCCCCCCCGGGGCCCCCTTGGGGGCCCCCCGGGGGCCCCCCTGGGGGGCCCCCCTACGAAACTGCCGCAGCCTTGTGCGGCTCATTTGCCTTTGGCATCTGGGCTGCCACGAAGTGTAGAGGGGGCCCCTTGCTGCTGTGCAGCAGCAGCAAGCCTGCTGCCGCTGCTGCAGCAGCAGCCGCTGCTGCTGCTGCTGCTGCTGCTGCTGCTGCTGCTGCTGCTGCCTGGGCTTCCGCGGCAGCGTTGCATAGCAGCAGCGCGCTGACTCTGTTGCTGCTTTGAGATAGGGCTTTGGCTGCAGCACAAGGGAAGGCTTGCCTGCAGCAGGAATCTCAGCAGCAGCAGCAGCAGCTGCTGCTGCTGCTGCTGCTGCTGCTGCAGCGTCTGTGGGCGGAATGGCCGGCGCATAGTCATCTCGTATGGTCCCCAGCAAGATGGGGGCATTGTCAGCAGCAGAGCAGCTGCTGCTGCAGCAGCAGCAGCAGCAGCAGCAGCAGCAGCACGTGGCTTCTGGAGGGGGCCCTAGCCTTCCCCTTGAGGCACTCGGATTGAAGAGGTCCTGAGAGCTGCTGCTGCGCATTCTGCTGCTGCGCGTGAACTCGCACTGCTGCTGCTGCTGCTGCTGCTGCAGCTGATAGGTGTCTGCTGCTGCTGCTGCTGCTGCTGCTGCTGCTGATGCAGTTTGTGTTGCGGCGTGCCTTGTAATGTCGAGCTGCAGGTTAGCGCAGCAGAGCCGTTGCCCGTGTTGCTAGAGTCAGATGGCCTAGGGTTTAGGGTTTAGGGTTTAGGGTTTAGGGTTTAGGGTTTAGGGTTTAGATCGTAGGTTTCAGGGTTTAGTGTCTAGGGTTTAGCGCTACGGTTCGAGACTGCGGAGCGAGCTGCCGGAGCGTCCGGGCGCCAGCCCAAGGGTTGGGGGTTTAGGGTTTAGGGTTTAGGGTTTAGGGTTTAGGGTTTAGGGTTACGGGAGTGTTGGTTTGGGCGTCAGTTTCTTTAAAAGAGTGCCAAGGCAAAGGCCCATACAGCTGAAAACCCCCGCCCACTCGCTGCAGCAAAGCTTCATTGCGTCTTTTCCCGAGGCCCCCTCTTGAGGGCAGGAAGCCTCGCCGCTGCTGCTGCTGCTGCTGCTGCTGCTGCTGCTGCTGCTGCTGCTGCATGCATGCGCTGTGCAGCGAGCAGCAGGATCGAGGGGGATCGTCTCCTCCCCCGTCAACTCCCACCATTACTGTTTGTGTGCAGTGAGCCCTCGGGCCTTTTGCTGCTCGATTTGCTTCTATTGCTTCTCGGTAAGCCACGGAGCAGTACTCCTGGGAGACTGCAGCAGCAGCAGCAGCAGCAGCAGCAGTTGCAGCAGCAGCAGCAGCAGCAGCAGCAGCGCATAGAGCAGCTCAAGCTGAAGCAGCAGCACTTAGGGGTTTAATTTAAGACTCTCTTGCCTTCATCTTCCCAGGGCGAAAACCCGCTAGCAGAGCAGCAGCACGGCTCCTGCAGCAGCAGCAGCAGCAGCAGCAACAACAACAACAACAACGTCAGCAGCAGCAGCAACAGCAGCACAGCGAACAGGCTGCGGGTACTCAGTGCAGCAGCCCACTGTTGGGCAGTGTTTCGATCACCAGAAGCAATAGCAGCAGCAGCAGCAGCAGCAGCAGCAGTAGCAGCAGCAGTAGCAGCAGCAGGAGCAGTAACTGCCCCTGTAGCACCGCCGGCACCAGCAGGTGGACTAGCAGCAGCAGCAGCAGCAGCAGCAGCAGCGCCAGCAGTAGCAGCAGCGCCAGCAATGGCAGTAACAGCAGCAGCAGCATCGCCAGCAGTGGCAGCAGCGCCAGCGGCAGCAGCAGCAGCAGCAGCAGCGCCAGCGGTAGCAGCAGCAGTAGCAGCAGCAGCAGCGCCAGAAGCAGCAGCAGCAGCAGCAGCAGCAGCGGCGCCAGAAGCAGCAGCAGCAGCAGCAGCAGCAGCGTGTGGAGTACGTTGAAGCATCTGTTGGGTGCAGCAGTGGCTTCTGGGCGGGAGTTTGAGTGGCTAGCTGGGCTAGCTAGCCAGCTAGCTGCTGCTGGGGGGCCTCTCTGCTGCTGTGCTGCTTCGCTGCGCCTGGGATCGGGCGATCCCGGAGTTGGGATCGTCTCCTCCCTGCGAAACACTCAGCAGGCGAAGCTGCCACTCCCCACAGTCGATCCCACGATCCCAGGGATCGATCCCATCGATCCCACCGATCCCATCGATCGATCCCATCGATCCCAGCGATCGATCCCATCGATCCCAGGGTTTGAAGCAATTTCGTGTTTGAGTGCTTTTTTTAAAGAACAGCAACTACCGCTCCACCCCCACGATCCCACACGATCCCACACGATCCCACACGATCCCACAAGACCCCACAAGACCCCACACGATCCCACACGATCCCACACGATCCCACGCTGGCCGTTGGCAGATCCCAGAGAGCTGCAGCCAGCTAGCTGGTGTTTGGGATTTGTTTTGAAGGCCAGAAGAGCAGTTTCGAAGTGCAGCAGAAGAAGTGGCATTAAAATGGAAAGAAATGGCATTTAAATTGAATTAAATGGCATTTAAAATCAAAGAAATGGCATTTTAAATGAAAGAATTCAAACTTTTTGCAAATCCAAAAAGAACTCAACACTAACCACTGCAGCGCCGCCCGCATGGCCTCGCCGCTGAAAACTGCTGCGTACATGGCCTGGGCCGAAGTCTGGGCCGCCATCTTCGAGCCCCGCCTAAACCCTAAACCCTAAACCCTAAACCCTAAACCCTAAACCCTAAACCCTAAACCCTAGGCGCTGCGCGCCGGGACCCAGTGCGCGCTGCTCGTCGGCTCGCCGCCGCTGCAGCGGAACAGACGCGGCTGAAGCCCCGGAAGTGAAACTCGAACTTTAAAATGAAATTCAACAAAAACATTCTTCTCAATTAGGGTTTAGGGTTTAGGGTTTAGGGTTTCAGAGGCTGGGCCTCCGCAACGCCCTTCCCGGGGCTCGAGTGACCTCGGCGGCGAAGCCCGCATGCACTGGCCGCCGCTGCGGGACTTCTCGGGTCATAAATGCATTAAAATGCATCAAATAAAAGCAATTTTAATTTAAAATGAATTTTAAATTCGAAAATGAAATAAATAAAACAAAATAAACGCAAACACAAGCAGCAACAGCTCGCCTGCAGCCGCGCGCGAGCAGCGAGCGCTCCAGGCGTTCAAGTTCTGTCCAGCGGCGAAAATCGGTGAAACTCGCGACAAATGACCCGAAAATTTGATCCATTTTTGCAAATTTAATCAAATAATATAATTAAAAGACAATTGGAATTCATTTATTGCCTTTTTGCAGCTCTAAAACGGCCTTCTCAGGCTCAATTGCCACACCTCCCCGTGCGCTGCCCCCTCTTCTGCCTCCCAAGGCATCACAGCAAACTGCTGGCCTTCTGCAGCAGCCCCAAGTTCAAGGGGGCCCCTCTCCTCTATGGGGGCCCCCCACTCAGGGGGCCCCTCCCCTTCAGAGGCCCCCCCTTCTTCAGGGGGCCCCTCCCCTTCAGGGGGCCCCTCTCCTTCAGGGGGCCCCTCCTCTTGAAGGGGCCCCTCAGGTCGTGGGGGCCCCGAGGGGCCCCCGGACCCCGTTTGGCGGGGGGCCCCGGGGGCCCCGGGGGGCCCCCCCGTGAGAGCCAGAGCTGCTTTGAGTGTCTTTGGAGCTGCTGCTGCAGCGCAGCAAAGGCTGCATGCAGGCGTGGGGTGTACGTACAGCTGGAAGATGCTGCTGCTGAGGGGGGGGCTGGGATCGTCTTGGAAGCAGCAAAAGCGATCCCAGAAGTCCTCAGCAAAAACATCAACAGCAGCAAAAGAAGAAGCACACACAAAGCCCAGCCTCCTGCTGTGGCTCACGAGGCAGCAGCAGCAAGGGTTTTGCTGCAGCAGCTGCTGCAGCAAAAGCGCCAGCCGCCAGTTCAAGTCAAAGTCGTAAACCACTGCAAACACCCAGCAAGCTGCGCCCCAAAGCAAACCTATAGCAGCAGCAGCAGCAGCAGCAGCAGCAGCAGCAGCAGCGGCGAGCAGCAGCAGCAGCAGTAGCAGCAGCAGCGGTAGGGACAAGCAGCAGCGGCAGCAGCAGCAGCAGGCAGCCACCGGAAGTAGGTGCTCCTGTTAGTTCCAACAGCCAGCAGCAAGATGAGAGCAGCAGCAGCAGCACCAATTGCTGTGGCTGCTGCAGCAGTAGCAGCAAATGCTACAGCAGCAGTAGCTTGTGCAGTAGCAAGTGCAGTGCGAGAGCAGCAGCAGCACATGCAGCAGCAGCACATGCAGCAGCAGCACATGCAACAGCAGCAGCACATGCAACAGCAGCAGCACATGCAGCAGCAGCACATGCAGCAGCAGCACATGCAGCAGCAGCAGCAGCAAATCTGTCTTTGCTGCTGCAGGGGGGCCCCTCACCATCACAAGCCAACACGAGATCCACAGCTCCTTTAGCTCCTAGGGTTTCTAATTCTTCTTGACTCCAGCTGAACTCATCTGCTTCTGGGGCCCCCCCGGGGGGCCCCCCCAGGGGGGCCCCCCTGGGGGCCCCTGGAGGGCCCCCCTGGGGGGCCCCCAGGGGCCCCCCTGGGGGCCCCTGGTCACCCCCAGACTAGGGTTTCTAATTCTTCTTGACTCCAGCTGAACTCATCTGCTTCTGGGGCCCCCCCGGGGGGCCCCCCCAGGGGGGCCCCCCTGGGGGCCCCTGGAGGGCCCCCCTGGGGGGCCCCCAGGGGCCCCCCTGGGGGCCCCTGGTCACCCCCAGAAAGCCCCGAGCCTTCTACATTCGCAGAATTGGGTAAAGAGTGCCCTGCACTAGGGGGCCCCTCCTGGTACCCTGTTGAGGTACTCTTTGCCAGCAGGGGGCCCCAGGGGCCCCCCTGGGTCCAGTCCAGTCGCCTTACAAAAACCTTGACAGGGGGGCCCCCCACGGGGGGCCCCTCATCTTGGGCGCATGCAGGGGCAGCGGGCGACCCTGTGGGCGTCGTAGGGGCCCCATAGCCCTCGACCTGAGGGCCCCCAGGGGGGCCCCCAGGGGGGGCCCCAGGGGATTCCGCCAAGAGGAACTCGTCTAGCTGCTGCGTTCGGCGGCACAGCTGAAGGGCCTCGAGGTCGATGTCCGTAAGGTAAACTTCAACACTGAAGTTAGGGGCCCCTTGGGGGCCCCCCAAGGGGGGCCCCTGTGGGGCCCCTAGGGGGCCCCCCCGGCGCAGCAAACGCCGCAAAAGGGGCCCCATAAGGCCTACCCCGCTGCCCAACTCCAAGACCCTGAAAACAGTTTTAGAGGGCACAGTTGAGCTGGGGGCCCCTCCAGTACTTTGCAGGGGGGCCCCCGAGGGGGCCTCCTTACAGAACCCCACGGGGGGCCCCTGGGGAGACCCCAATGGGGGCCCCCCTTGAGACCCCAAGGGGGCCCCCGGAGGGTCTGGAGTTTCGGAGCTGCCTCTTCTGTCTCCGGCGCCATTAGTAGAGGTCCCCGTGGCTACAGGAGGGGCCCCCAAGTTGGGGGCCCCTGGGGCCTCTTTGGGGGCCCCTGGGGCTTCTTTGGGGGCCCCTGGGGCCTCTTTGGGGGCCCCTGGGGCCTCTTTGGGGGCCCCCGGGACCTCTTTGGGGGCCCCCGGGACCTCTTTGGGGGCCCCCGGGACCTCTTTGGGGGCCCCGGGGGCCTCTTTGGGGGCCCCCCAAAGGGTCTGAGGGGCCCCAAGGAGGTGGTTGGCCATAGTGAGGGAGGCAGACCAGAGGCCCCGGCCAACCCCTTCAAGATCTTTTGCTTCTTTTTGAAAAACCCAAAAAGCCTCAGGGGCCCCCCCTAGGGATAAGTCGCTGCAAAGCGGCAAAGGCGAGGCCCTGGGGGCCCCCCCAGCCTCCACAGAGGGTGGCTGGGGGGCCCCAACGGTGTCCTGGGGGCCCCCCGGGCTTCCGGGGGCCCGGGGGCTCCTGGGGGCCCCAGGGGCCCCAGGGGGCCCCCCTAAGCCCGTGGGGGCCCCGGGGCCCCCGGGGCCCCTGGGGCCCCCGGGGCCCCCAGGGCGCCGGGGTGGTTCTAGATCTCCATCGGCATCGGTGTAACAAAAAGAATCTTCAGATGTGACTTTTGCTTCGGCCTGGGGGGCCCCTGTGGGGCCCTGGAGGGGCCCCCCTGGGGGCCCTGGAGGAGGCGTGGGAGCAGTTGCAGGGGGCCCCTCGGGAGCGCTGGGGGGCCCCGTGGGGGGCCCCTGGGGCCCCTCAAGAGGCACTGGGGGCCCCCCAATCCTCCATAGAGAAAGGTACATAGGGCCGAGTTAGAGGGGCCCACGAGGACTGAAATAAACTAAAATTAAAAATTCTATTATTCATCAGATTTGAACTTAATTGCCAGCTTTATTACCCAGGGAAGCCCCTTAGCACTTCCAGCGCCGCCCAGGGGCCCCAGGAACACTGAAGAGCGGCTGCTGGGGGCCCCCGCATTAAGTATTTGGGACTTAGTCTTTATTTGTAGATTAAATTTGTTTATATTTATGGAAGAAAGAAAGAAAATTTGTCTGAGTGCGCAGTGGGCGGCACTTATTGTCCATTTGCCTTCAAAAGTTGGCCCCAATTGGCATTTTAATTTGCTTCTTTGCCTCTAAATGCATTTATATTTAGTTTGTGTATATCTTAAATAAATAAGTTTTACAAATTTCGCATATACACCAGTGGTGAAGTATGCAGTGGGAGGTTTATGCACAGACTTGTGCATTTGTGTCACTTTTGCACACATTTCTCTCACTAAAATAGATCTAAAATTAAATCCGGAAATAGCGGAAACTTTGCAAATATTTAAAATGGAAAAAGACGAAAAAGAGGCCGCGGGAAGACCAGGTGTTGAGGTGTATAGACACCTGGGCGCACAAGCCCCCAGGTGTATAGGGAGGTCGGGTCTATGCTTGAGAATGTGGCGAAACAGCGAGAGAATTGAATAAATAACAATAAAATAATTATAATTTATATTTTAAGTTTCATTTAGCACTTTATTTTCTGCTTCCAGCTCGATTTTGTTCGAGATTCTTTTTCGCGCCAAATGAGGTGTACAGACACTCCAGACTTGTGCGCTGCCGCCTTGTGAACTGCCGGAGGGCTTTTCTGTCTTTTCACAATTTTCAATATTTCCATTTGTGCATTTGTGTCCTTTGCTGCCTCTGCTGCAGTTAAATGGCAGCACAGCCCCTGCCTAGCTGCTGTTGCTGCTGCTGCTGCTTCTAGTGCTCAGCAGCATGGCTGTTGCTGCTGCTGCTGCTTCTAGTGCTCAGCAGCACGGCTGTTGCTGCTGCTGCTGCTTCTAGTGCTCAGCAGCACGGCTGTTGCTGCTGCTGCTGCTGCTGATTTTAGTGCTCAGCAGCAGAAAAGAACAGCTCTAAGGAGCCTAGGCAGCTGCTGCCGCATCGTGGTACTGAGGGTTTATGGTTTAGGGTTTAGAGTTGAGGGTTTTGGATTAAGGGTTTACGTTTGAAAGGAGTTTAAGGGTTTGTGTATGAAAGGAGTTTCTGGGGTTTGAAGGCCAAGAGCAGCAAGCCGCATTCCTTGTCGAGCTTCGTTGGCCGAAGGGTTTAGGGTTTAGGGTTTAGGGTTTAGAAGAAGAGCCCGTTGGTGTTGGGGAGGAGCGCGTTTTTCTGCATGAGGTTCGTGGCTGCGGGCTGCGCCGGCGCTGCTGCTGCTGCTGCTGCTGCTGCTGCTGCTGCTGCTGGCTTGCTGGGGGCCACACCCAAGAAAGAAGAGGGACTCTCCAGCAGCTGCTGCAGCGAAGGGATTTCAGTCAAAGGGGCCCCGAAGAGTTCTTCGAGGGTTTGGGAGAGAGAGAGGAACTGTCCCAGGTTGAGGTTGAGCAGCGACGGCGGCAAGCTGCTGCTGCTGCTGCTGCTGCTGCTGCTGCTGCTGCTGCTGCTGCTGCTGCTGCGGATGACCGCGCTGAGGGGCTGCTGCAGCAGCGCAGCAGGCAGCTGGTGCTCCCGGAAAAGAGACCCCAGAGTCCGCCCGCTGAGCTGCGGGGAAAGGCCCAGCAGCAGCGGGCTGCTGCTGTCTTGCAGCACAAACTCATCAACAGCAGCAGTTAATTCTCGCAAAGACAAAAGTTCTTTCAAAGTCCCTTCTCCAGGAAGCTCCAGCAAAGACAAGTCCCCTCCGTGCTGCAGCAGCGGAGGCAGCTCGAGCCAACCCGCCTGCGCAGCAGCACCTCCAACGCAGCCCCTAGGGTTTAGGGTTTAGGGTTTAGGGTCTAGGGTTTAGGGTTTAGGGTTTAGCGTCTAGGGTTTAGCGTCTAGGGTTTAGCGTCTAGGGTTTAGCGTCTAGGGTTTAGCGTCTAGGGTTTGGGGTTCAGGATTCGGGGTCTAGAATATAGGATTTAGGATTCAGGATTCAGTGCATTGGTTTTAGGGTTTAGGGTTTAGGGTTTAGGGTTTTGGCGGTGAGGAGAAAGCCCGCGGCGTTGAGGTGTCCGTACACCTCAGCGCATGCACGGGTGCACAGGGGGCAGCTCGCGAGGTGTACGTACACCGCAGCGGCCCCACACCTCACCTGCAGCTTTCGGCGAGGGGCCAGCAGCCCGGCGTCTTCTTCTTGCTGCTGCTGCTGCTGCTGCTGCTGCTGTTGCTGCTGCTGCTGCGGACTAATTTGGGCCTTTCTGTAGAGAGAAGCGAGCAATCCGGAGGGGTGTTCGAGTTCATTTAGCGTGTTTTGGGCCTCGGAGACCGCCTGCGCTGCTGCTGCTGCTGCTGCTGCTGCTGCTGCTGACTGCTGCTGCTGCTGCTGCTGCTGCTGCACTCCAGCAGCTTCTCCTGCTGCTCCCAGCAAACGCTGCATGCGGTCCCCAGCAATATGAACTGCTCGCTGCAAAGTCCCCGACAGCCGCAGCGCAGCGCTCAACGCCTCGTCCACAGACACGCCTGCTGCAGCAGCAGCAGCAGCAGCAGCAGCAGCAGCAGCAGCAGCAGCAGCAGGGGCGGCGGAAGAGAAGGCGGCGGCAGTACAGCAGCAGCAGAAGACGAAACGCGTCAGTGGTGAATTCAAGACACAAGGTCACTCTTAACAGAACCCTAACCCTAAACCCCAAACCCCACCCCTCAAACCCTAAACCCTAAACCCTAAACCCCACCCCTCAAACCCTAAATCCTAAATCCTAAACCCCGCCCCTCAAACCCTAAATCCTAAACCCTAAACCCCGCCCCTCAAACCCTAAACCCTAAACCCTAAACCCTAATCCCCACCCCTCAAACCCTAAACCCCACCCCTCAAACCCTAAACCCTAAACCCTAAACCCCACCCCTCAAAACCCAAACCCTAAACCCCACCCCTCAAACCCCAAACCCTAAACCCTAAACCCTAAACCCTAGGGTTTATTTGGGGCGGACCTTGGGCGTCCGTGGAGGCTGCGAGTCCCTGGGGAAGCGAGCTGTTGACCTTTTGCTGCAGCTGCTGCACTGCTTGCTGCAGCTCTGCAGAAAGGGTCTCCACGCGCTGCTGCAGTTTGGAGACTGCTGCTGCTGGAGACACCAAAAACTCCGGAAAAGATAAAACTGAAAACCCTAATGGACAATCTGCTGCGCTGCAGAGGCTCAGGGCCTTCAGAGGTGTATAGACACCCCACGACAGCTCCGCAGGAACGCCTGCCCGCACGCGCAACGCCGCAGTCTAGGGTTTAGGGTTTAGG